AATGCTTGGGTGCCAAGGTAGTTCCAGTCATGGTCCAAACATGGTACCCCAAGCTGGAACTCATGAGCTTGAACCAAGCTTGAACCTGTGGTGATACCTAGGTAAATCCAAACATGTTGATATTCTGGGAATTAATGCTTGGGTGCCAAGGTAGTTCCAGTCATGGTCCAAGCTTGGTACCCCAAGCTGGAACTCATGAGCTTGAACCAAGCTTGAACCTATGGTGATACCTAGGTAAATCCAAATATGGTGATATTCTGGGAAACAATGCTTGGGTGCCAAGGTAGTTCCAGTCATGGTCCAAACATGGTACCCCAAGCTGGAACTCATGAGCTTGAACCAAGCTTGAACCTGTGGTGATACCTAGGTAAATCCAAACATGGTGATATTCTGGGAATCAATGCTTGGGTGCCAAGGTAGTTCCAGTCATGGTCCAAGCTTAGTTCTCAAAATTTGTACGCAAGAGGATGCCGAAGCTCAATCTAATACTTTTATGAATAAAAATGTTCAATTGACATCATTTCTTCGAAGAAGTAAATGGTTTCGTCTGGGTACAATTCATTCTCCAAAAATCATTTCTATATATTTTCTCAGCTAGATTTCCTAAGTTCTCCGCTTGATTTTTCAAATGAGAAAAATGGAACAATTTAGTGAAAGACTTTTAAAAAATTATGTCAAATAAGTTTTATTTAAAGCATGTGAATGGAATAGATTATTTAGAAGAATCCATACACACGAAAAAAGGCAATGGAAAGTCCTACCGAATTCGGTAGAAATTTCGGTAGGATTTCTGGCGAATTTTCTATAAGTTTATGGCCACTATCGACATGTTTAATAGAAAATTATTGAAAAAATCAATAGAATTTCGTTTTTCTATACAACATATTCTATTGAGATATTTTCAATAAAATATTCTCGACTCAAATGTTCCAAGTTTTTTCATTCAAGTTTTATTTTCGTCTCTTCAAGAAAATGAAACAAACCTTGGAAAAGTTGAGCCGACGAAATTCGATAGGAAATCAAATTCTATTGGTTTTTTCTGTCGAATATTTTCTATTGAACATGCCAATGAAAATGCCAAAAACCTATAGAAAATTCAATACAAATCCAATAGTATAGACGTTTTTCATACGAGAATCTATTCGTTATTTCGGTAGAAAACAGTTCTATGTTAAACCTTCCTATGCTGAAGGAAAACGCAGAAAATCTTATAAACTTTTTCATGGGGACTACCAAAAAAATTTTTTTTTTGATGGAGAGTCAAAAAATTCTGAAACGTAATTTCTCTCCATTGTTACATGCTTTATTCGGTAATTTATATGCAACTTTTCTCTCCGTGTAGTCATATGGCATTGAGTCTATCACTGTGCTCATTGTAAAAAGAAGATTATTAAAATAAATAGTATGAAATTATGAAATGATCAAAGATGACAGGAACGATAAAATAAATTAATCTTCTTGGAAAATCCATTATTATTCGCATCACTTTGAGAATGTCCTCGTCCTCACATACTGTATTTCTCTATTTACTTTTTATTTATCACCTACCGTAATTAAAGGAGTCTTTTTTACATTCATTTGAAGTAGGGACTGGGGGAGGGGGCAAAACGAATACTTCAGGCTTTTTTCGAATTTAAAATTTCTTTTTAATTGTCAAACGGATGGGATAGACTTCGTTATTAGAGGCTTCATTCCTTTCTCATAATGAACCAAGACTGAGCTCAACCTTTCAATTTATTCCTGAGTTATGATTTTTTGAAAAAATTTCTAGTTTCCATTCAGTCTCATTTTCTCTTATTTCTGTACATTGAGATATCAGTTCTAAACTCTAGACTCTAGAGTCTAGAGAATAATCTTCGGATTTCAAGTCGAGTGTACTCGATTGTATGGATCGGGCAGTAGTGGGGATACTTCGGGTCAACTTCCGAGGATCATTCTCTGGTGCGAAGCGGTGGACGTATAACGTGTGTGCGCAGGAGATGGAACATCGTTTGAGAGGGGGTAGCCTATGCCGCCAGTTGCATAGAGGGCACAGACAAGCGTGAACGTGTTTCTTGGATGTACTTAACCTGTTCTGCGTTGAGAAAAAGCATTGTTGATCAAAAAATACCAATAGATCAACGTATTTTTCCCGGATTCGTGTTAGTTGTAGTGAAAAAACCAATCTGGTACAATCAGCGAACGTAAAAAAACACTAACCTATCCGGGGCCCGGACGCCATCTTACAACTCGGTCGTTTCCGAACGTGATGACCCGTTCAGTCATTTTTTTTAGTCAGGTCTACTATTTTTTACGTGTTCAACAGAAGACTTAGATTTTTCCGTAAGCTAACCAGGTATGTACATAAGCAAGCAATTATTTCGTTCTTTGCAGTTACCACTGTTGTGTTTGTGAATACGACTACGACAATGAATAAACACATTCGGCTTTGATAATGGTATTGGAAGTGTATTGTTTCATCTCCTACCATTGGTTACTGCGAACTTGTATTTATGATTTTTCGATCTCGCAGCCTCCCATGTGTTTGTCGTATAATATTTACTGAAAAAGCATCATTTTTTGGAAGGGATAATTTTTGTTAACGAACGGTGAGATTAGGGCATCGAAGAACCACAAATACAAGTTCACAAGAGCCAATGAGATCAGATGAAATGGACACACGTCCGTTGTCGTTACTAAAACCGAATGTGGCCATTCATTTTCATTGTCCAATACATTGAATTTTGGTGCAACAACAAAAATGCAATTATTCTCCACATTTCCTAAACATAAATTAAGCGTAGCTAACCTCAAAACTTACTGAGTGGAAATGTCAATTTTTGTCTAGAATGAGTGACGAGAGCTCCAGCAGTGATGACTCTCTGCAGGACAATCCATATCAAATTGTGGAATTTTGTGGCGAAGAAAATGATCAGGGCCAAAAAATGATTGAAATAATCAACAGCAAGTGGATGCACAGGGAGAGTAAAAATACAAACAAAGGTATCTCTTATTACCCTCCAACGAAGGATTATGGGAGAATTGAAGGATGGTTGAAGGCACATACCGATCGGAAATCTTCATGGGAGAAATTTAATGTTGAGATATTGGCTTCAGCAGATAATTTCTGGTCCAATGGGTCTCATTCACAAATCTATATTCTCAAAAATATATGGTATTTCCTTCAAGATAATTTTGATGATCAGTTTTTGTATAGTGAGATATGTGTTTCAATGGAAAACTGAATTACTAGTGAAGCTATTCTTCCTCAATTCTCAATTTCCGATATGTCTAAATCTCAGTTTGAAACTATCAAAAGTCCTAATTTGCTATCATAAATATTCAGATAAAACTTGTTTCGTTTAGTATTCATTTAATTTACTTATTTAACTCATTTTCCTTTCCGAATGACATTTCTCTAAAATATTTGAATCTTCCTTTTCTAGATGATTTTGCAAGTACACAGAGACGTTTGAAACGCTTGTACAAAAATCGAACAGATGTAGAATCTCACATTTCTGATAGTGACTCGAGCGGGCCACAAGATATTCTATCGAAGAAACGTGGTGCAGCAATGCTGAAGACCTCTAGTTCTTTGAAACCGCAGCATGGCGTGGCTGAAGATAACGACAGCTTGCCAGTTAGATCCACATCCATACATCCTCGATGGAAATCCTCAGCTCGTTGCGACACACCACCGTGCATATCCTCCACCAAGGCCCAGATGACAGACACAGCAGATCACTCTCAAAAACGTCCAGAGGAAGGTATAACTGAGTAGTACAGAGTTTTATTCGACGTCCATTTCATAAAAATTTACAATTTATTGCCCTTTTCATAGGGATAAATCCAACACAAACCAGAGGAGAGAAGAAGACCGAGCTACAAAAACGACTTGAGGACCTGCACCACAAAGGGAAGGCTGATTCTCAAACAAGTATGCTGAATTTCATTGGCCAAGCCGGAAATTCCTGATGTGAGCACAATCTAATATTTTTCTATTTATTCTAGAGCTTCTCATCGACTATTTAGACGCAAAATTTGAATTGATAACACTCAAGCTTCAAGACGAAATCCAAAGCGCTAAGAGAGCCCAACAATATGATCTAGGGAAGAAAGTAGAGGACTTGAAAAATTCAATAGCAGCTCCGGCGTCAGATAACAAGGGCGACGCTTCAGCACGAGCCTTACTGGGAGTTCAACTCCCAATAGCTACTCTGGATGAGTTTGAGAAATTTGAACAGATGTTGGATCCAAAATCTGAGGTGAATGCAGTGAATCCTGAAGCAGCACTGGAGAAACAAGCCCTCTTGGTAATTAAATAGAATAAATTNGCAAATTTCATCCCTTAGTCGCAGTTAGGGTGGGCGGAATGAATTTTTTAAATTGAATTTTTTTTTTCCATCTCTTCGCACATTAAAAAATTCACTCCTCCCTCCCTAACTGGCCCTAAGGTATAAAATTTGTGTCGCATATTGAGTATTAAATTCTCAATACGTTGGCACAAATTTCATCCCTTAGTCGCAATTAGGGTCGGAGGAATGAATTGTTGAATTGAAAACAAATTTTTTTTTTCAATCTCTTCGCACATTCGAAAATTCACCCCTCCGTACCCAAAAGGCGCTAAGGGATGAAACTCGTGTCATTGAATTGAGAATTTAATACTCAATCGGTGACACAAGTTTCATTCCGTAGCTATAATTCGGAGGGGAGGGATGAATTTTCAACCGAGACGCGCGTTCNAGAGCATCTCCAAATTTCTTTGCATGGAATCTTATGAATCACAGAAAAGTTGTCTTTCAAAATATTTTCTTATGCAGAGAACTATCTCCGTCTAAATTTCAGTTCAATAGAATTGCACTATTCAACGTTATCCTCCACAGTATTCTACTAATAACTAGAAGAGACCATAATGGGGCAAAATAATCCATCAGTTACTATCTTTAAAAAAAAAACAAATCGACTCAGAAAATTTCATTCTATAATACGTAAATTATTTCGATCGATTGAAATTAATTTTTGTCATTGGATTTCATCATTTTTCCGCTATTCTNGCATATTGAGTATTAAATTCTCAATACGTTGGCACAAATTTCATCCCTTAGTCGCAATTAGGGTCGGAGGAATGAATTNAAAAAAAGTGAGTATGTTAAACAATTTTCCATTGCAGATGTGTTGGAGCAAAAATTTGAAACTGACGCTGTAAAATTGAAAATTTCATCTGCAGCTGGTACGTTTTTAACACTCTGGCGTGATCGTGAAGGTGGAGCCGCTGAACGCAGGAGCAGAGCTCGAGCGAATAACGCTGACTGACCACTAAAATATCTATTCTTTCTTTTTTTTTTGTTCATTCATTTTTTACCACATTCTTAACAATGTGAACACAGGGTGTACGACTTTGGATTTTTAATAAACGTTTTTCCAGAAAACTAACATTGTCATTGGACCCTTATTCCCTAATAATGAGGAGATTGTCCAATCTTGAAGGCCATGATCGATGCAGTCTAGACTTCCCAAACTGAGATCAAGTTTGGAATTCAAGCTTGAATCGAGCTCGGTCTCCAAGCTGCGATCGAGCTCCACCTGCAATCTTGGACCGAGTCTAGTCTCCAATATTAGGTCAAGCTTGGTCTCCAAGCTGCGATCGAGCCCCACCTGCAATCGTGGACCGAGTCTGGTCTCCAAGCTTGAATCGGGCTCGGTCTGCAGGCTTGGGTCAAGCATGGTCTCCAAGCTGCGAACGAACTTGATCTTCAATCTTGGACCGAGCCTAGTCTCCAGGCTTGGACCAAACTAGGTTACCAAGTTTGAACCGGTATTACAAATCAAGCATTAATCGAGATTGGGTCAAGCTTGGGGACCAAGTTCGTACCAAGCTAGTCTAGTCTTGGTCCAAGGTTCAATCAAGCTTGAACCAATTGTTAATTCCCACCTGGGATGGGGAATTTAATTCTCCATCGAACAGCATTGGTTTCATTCCTTAATGTTAATTAGGAGCAGAGATACGATTTCTTAATTAGCGGGCGAGTTGTCGGGAGTCACTGCACCGAGAAACCATTGAGTTTTTCATAGCGCCGCGACTTTCGTCGCAATATTAATTTTCTTATTACAGAGATTAAGGAATAAAACGGGGGTTGAAGGATGGGGAATTTAATTCTCCATCGAACAGCATTGGTTTCATTCTTTATTGTTAATTAGGAGGGGAGAGACGATTTTTTAATTAGCGGGCGAATTATTGGGGAGAAGTGAATTTTTGAAAGCGCAAAGAATTTGAAAAAAAAATTTTTTTTCAATTCAAAAATTCATTCCTCCGACCCTAATTGCGACTAAGGGTTGAAATTTGTGCCAACTCGTTGAGCATTTAATACTCAATAAGTGACATAAATTTTATCCCTTGGGGGCAGTTAGGGAGGGAGGAGTGAATTTTTTAAAGTGCGAAGAGATGGAAAAAAAAAAAATTCAATTCGAAAATTCATTCCTCCCACCCTAACTGCGACTAAGGGATGAAATTT